ATAGTATATAGACGACAGTTAACTTAGATAATATTTTTACTATCACATAAAAAAATGAAGAAAGTAGAGTTGCTAAATTATGTACATATTGCAAAATTTTATGATAACCAGATAATAATTCATCTTTAACCCTCACTTTATTTTTTAATAGAAAATAGCAATTCACATTTTATACATGGCAGGAGATTGATTATGCATAGTAGTCAGGTTCTATGAGACGATAAATGTAAGGCCCGTAAAATCCCGCAAGGTAATTTAAGGTTTCATGGTGCTGAAATAGATTTGCTTGTTTGAGAATTGTATAAATTTTTCGCGGCGAGCTTACGAGTCGCGGTACAGAATTTTTGAGTTGAACAGTATGCTGAGGAGTTAAAGGAAATTTTTGGCAGAAAAAGGCGTTTTTGCAGTCCATTATGCAGCCGCAGAATCACTCTACGGGCTGCAGAGTGAGGCACGACTGGGCAGGTTTGGGTGCCATTCTGCGGTCGACTATGCGACCACATAACTGTTCTGCGGTTCATTATGCGACCACAGAACATGTATGCGGTCTGCATAGTGACCGCAAACCCAGGCAGAGTTGCCCAGTTTCGGAGGTTCATTTCGCGGTCCATTTCACGGACCGCAGATGCATTATGCAATCGCATATATGACCACAGATCTTGTTCCGGAACTTATTTTTTTTGAATTTTTATAACCCGACCCTGCTTCATTATATAGACAATATGTACCATCTTTTGAGCAAAAATATGATATTTTGAGAGAAAGAAAGAGATCTAGAGAGTGAGAGAGTTCCTCAACCAATTATTCCTCAATTCTTACTCAAATCTTGGAAGATTATCAAGGAAAGCACACTAGGTCTTCATTCTAGAGGTAAAATTCTACACCCTAAATCTCAATTTCGAAATTTAACTAGGAATGGGTAATTGGTAAGATAATTTTTGGGTATGTGAGTTATTTATTTTGCATGCATGTGTTATCAAGGGATGTAGGAAGATTGTTGAGCTAAAATGGTAAAAATTGGGTTGAGGGATGATGGGATCCTCCATGAAAGGGCCTTGAAACCTTAATACACACCTAGTATTTGATAAAATTCTCAAAGAAGCTAGAACCATGAGTACCTTCCTAATTTTGGTTTAATTTGTTACATTTCTAAAATAGATTGAAGTTGCTAAGATTTTCGGAACATTTTAGAGTTTAAGGAAGATCAAGTGAGGTATGTTGGCTAAACTCTTCTCTTAGAATTGAACCTCGCAATGTCCTTGTAAGTCTCGTGATGCCCTTTATAAATTGAATTTCTGTCAAGTAAGCCTTGTATCGAAATAATTATGTATTCAATATGTATTTCAAAGATTCTTGTTATGTTAAGTTAATGTTTGAGTATTTGGTTTAAGTATGGGTTGTGTGTTACTATATTATGATTTGAAAGTGTGAATTCGTATGAAAACTACCATGTCAATTGTGTAAGAAGTCATATGTGCCTAAGACCCTAATTTGCTCAAGTATGTGCTTAAAGCCCTAATGTTGAAAGGCCTTGTTGTTGATTATTCATGATAACGATTGAAAATGAAATAATGAGTTGAATTATGAAGTACGGCCAGTGTGCCAAGAATGATAATGCGTTATGGCCAATGATGTCAATAAAATGAATGACATGTAAAAAAAAATGAATTGAGTGGTAAATACTTTTAATAACAAATGCTTTGGGACTATCGATTAGCCACCGCGGAAGGGTAGGTCGGAATAACCTAACCCCGAAACTACATGTGCTGGTGTAGGAGTAATTAAGAGATAAATCCCCGTGTTAATGTGATGAGACTATTTTCCCTTATAAGAGATGAGATTGGTGTCTTGAGACGTTTTTCCCTTAAATGGGATGAGATTATTGTTAGCTAGATGTGATGTAATGTCGACCCACACGACATTGTGGTGAGACGGCTTAGCCGATCGGGCTAAGATCGGACGCCATGCCGCGCACATGGTGGTATTGTGAGTGTATGTCTCGGGGTGAGACGGCTTAGCCGGTCGGGCTGAGATCGGACTCCGTGCTAAAATACGGTGGTATATCGATGCTAAAGATCTCCCAACTTAAATTACCGAAATCTCCGTGAAATTTACGTTTCCCCTAATGTGGCACTTTGACACCGTTTGAGTCTCTTATTGATATCATGTTTGTTCTCCGTTTACTGTTGCTCATTCTATTGAGAGGGTGTTTAGTTTTATATACTATTACTATTCCATATGTACTAACGCCCCTTTTGCCGGGGGCGCTGCATTTTTAATAGATGCAGGTGGTTCCATAGCAGGTGGTATTGATCAGTGATAGCAGCACACCCTCTCCTCAGCTGATTTGGTGAGCCCCACTTCATTTCGGGGTCTTGTATCTTCTATCCTTTGTACATAGTATTTTGAGGTATAGGCGGGGCCTTGTTGTCGGCATTGTCCTAGCACTCTTCTGTTCCTGTTAGAGACTCCGTAGACATAGTGTGGGTTGTACATGTTTTGGAAAAGTTAAACTAAAAATGTTATAATGGTTCATCTATTCCACTTTAACTTTGATTGTACAACGTACTGTTTTGAAGACTTGTTAATGACGTAACTAATGGAAGTGAACCGGTGTTGTTCACATGAGTCATTATCGATTTATTAATGAAATGTATTCTTTTCTTTATGTGTGGGTGAATTGGGTAGACGGCCCTGTGCAGGCTTGCTCGACCGAGGTAACTCTGTTGAGCGCCGGTTACGCTCCCCGAGGTCAGAGNATATATATATATATAAGAGATTCAGAAGTTGAAACTTCATTCTAACTCAAATTTTATTTAAATTCAAATTCAAATATCATACCAGTTTGTTAGGAACGTTTTTTAAGGGAAAAAAAAAGATTTATTTGAATGAAAAAATAGGATTTTTTTTCTTTGTTTCTTTTGCTATAATAAATTTCAATTTTCACAAAAAAAAAAAAAAAATTGTAGGAGAAAATAAAATATTTCATTCTATTATTTTGCAGTCATTCTGTTAATCCAATTTTTACTTCATCAATATCATTTGTTACAGTCAATATGACATCCACTTTGGAAAAGACCTTCATGTGTATCCAAAAACTCAGCACACAAAATAGTGAAATGCCTATAAAATAACATTTGGAGAAACATACTCTGTGCTTGAATTGTTGAAGCGGCGAAATTGAAAATGCCAAAAGAAAGATTAGTGCACATAAAATGTGTATTTCTGCTGAAACCGATATTTAAAACCAGTAAATAGAAGGTAAAATATCCTGCTTAATTAGATGAGAAAGTTGATCTACAAAGAAAACATATAGTTTTCAAGCCTTCCATCAGCTTCCTTCCCTCCCATAGAAAACAAACGTAATCATTCTAGGGAAAATTTAGAAAGAAGATCTTTAAGAACTTGTATAACAGAATCCTTAGAAAACTAAAATGTTAAAAAAATTGAAACATCTACCATAATTGTTCAATAATCATCTAGCATATTGTTAAGTTGAAACTTTACCTTTTATAGGCATAACTGTAAATACTACAAAAATCAATTTACCTTTCAAAATGTTTCATGAGTATAAAATTGGAATAGTTTTTTCCAGTAAGTTGCTCAACAAAAAGAAACAAAGAAGAAGATAAAGAGGAAAGCATAAAAGAAGAAAGTGAAAGGAGAAGGGACAGTTACCAACAAAAAAAGACATAAAAACGATGAATACTTCAACAACAAAACATTATTTAAAATTCCATATTTGGATACTTGATCTCCTTCTTATAACCATGACCAAACAAATGAAGAAGATAAGTAAGCGGAAAAAAAGGATTAGAGAAATGAAAATCATAAGAAATATACTAAATTGGTGAAGATTCTTACTGGCACAAATCAACAAATTTACTTGTCTTTTTGCTCCAAGTTCTTTTGAAACAATGACCTGCTATCCAAACCACTCCTTGTCCTAAACACAAATGTAGCACATTCAGATTTTGAATTAAGCAACCAATCATTAACCAAGTTGCAATAGTGAAACTTTCTACCTTCAGATGAAAAAGTGGGAAAAGGAAAGCGTTCTACCTTCTGATCATCTTCTCCATTAAACTTCTTCTCCTTTGTTAATTTTTTCTCTGCCATGAGTGACACTGCAGTTGAAACTTCAGGCGTTTGAAATTGAAAATTATGTGTTTGGTTGAAACGACAAGGGAAAACGTGAAGGCTTTGGCTTGAAACGGTACTTAAGAAGATTGTACTATTGCCTTGTCTATCTCCTTATTATTAGGAGTTGTAACTGTAATTAAATGTGGACTTTTAAATTTTGATAATAATTGTTTGATTATTTTTAACTAAAAAAAATCTTAATTTCCATAAAATAACTGCCCAACATGGGAGGCAGTATCCCTTTTTTTTTTGTGAATCCGTTGGATGAATGTTTTTTTTGCCTATTTCCTAGTTCTAGTTTCAAATTTAAAATTAACTCCAACTCTATTGGAGATATGTCTTAAAAAATGACACTTGTTGAATTGTAATTATGCCATTTGCCATCATTACATTCTTTTGCTTCTCCCTTTATATTATTATTATTATATATAGATAGATTTAATGCTACCTCCTACTTTTTTGGATTATTAAACATTGTTATTGTTATTATCATTCATTACTAGCTAAAGTAATATACATATCATCTTGTTATAAAGTCGGTTAAAATATTTTTTAAATATTAATATTAGCTAAAATTAATTCTATTTCATTAAATCTAATTATTTAAATCTAGATCTAAATTTTTGATTTAACTAGCTACTCAAGTAACCAAATTTGACCCATAACCCTCGTCAAGAAATAACGACAAAAATCTTTTATGTTTTGTACGTGACATGAATTAGTGCACCCCACAAAACTCGAAGTCGAGGTGATGAAGTTCGTAGGTATATATGCGGCTATTAAAATATCCAGGTGATTTGTTCTGTCAGTTTCTCTGGCCCGACAGGCGACATGTATTGATTCTCGTATAAATCCAATTTTTTTAAAGTACGGTGCCTAATTTTTTTTATAAATAGAAATAACAAATAGCCCAAATTTTATAATGAAAAACACCTGTCTACAACAAATTCTTTTGTTCTTTTTCTCCTTTCCTTTCCAATTCTTGTTTAATTGAAAGTGATCATCGGAAGCTATGAGCAATACTTCCTCCAGCAGAATCTGAAGAATGGCCATTGAAATCCATAATGTTCAAGCAATCTTGAATCTCATTATCCCATTTCATTAATTGATCCCAGAATTCTTCATCTTTTCCAATACCAACATCTGTTTTAATTCCCTGCTCTAACTGTATTGGCTCTTGTTGCTGCTGCTTTGAACAAGATATTGAAGTGGTAGTATTGTGCTGTTGAATTGATTTATAATCTGCAAATGAGAAATTAAGTTTAGCTCTAGGACCTCTAAATTGAATAGCAGCTTTATCATAAGCTCGAGCAGCATCCTCTGCTGTATTAAAAGTTCCAAGCCAAACTCTAGCTGCCCTTCTTGGATCTCTAATTTCCGCTGCCCATTTTCCCCACGGTCTCTGTCTCACTCCTCTGTAATTCTTTTTCTTTTTCTTGGCAACAATCTTGGCCTTGTTGTTATTATCAGCAGCAGCAGCAGCAGCAACTGGGTCTGGGGCTCCAAAATATTTGCAACCTAAACACCCTTTTATTTTGCAGAACTGACATGGCTCTGGTTCTTTTGGAACGCGAAACAGAGGAGGGTCAAAACTATACATGCTCGTAGAAGGTGAAGAAGATGAAATTATATATTGAAATTCTTGAGTTGTATCACCTGTTATAACATTTGTTAAAGCAGAAACCATAATAGAAAACTCTTGTTCATCTGTGAACTTTGGCTTTGAAATTAGATGGTTGATTGAAACAGTTTCCTCTTGTTTAGATCTTTTGGTTGACCTCTGCATTGTTGAGATTTGAAAAGGTGGAAACTTTGGTCTTTGGCGTTCAGATTGTTTTCTGGTTTTGAACTTCTTTGCTTTATATACAAGGTAGGGATGTAAACAAACAGCAACGTGGATAAACAAGAAGTATAATACACTTTTTGTACACGGGGTTTGACTTTAGCTTAACTGGCATATTAAAATTAATTGGTTTTGTGGGCACGTGGGAATTTGGATGGTGTGTTTGTGATGAGGTGGCGGTTATACGGGTCGGGTTTAGGGTAATACTTGATGACATGGCACAAGAGAGAAGCGTTCACACGGTGAATGTCACTCTCGTGGATGGAGGAGGGGGGACAGCTTTTGGCTATTTTGGCAAAGGACGGTTATAGAAGAATGATGTAATCACTTACACAAAGGAGAGGGTAATTTTGGAAATTTATTAGGAGACATCAGACAAGAGTGGGGACAGTTGACGCGGTCAAATAGTTCATCCTGTCGCTTTGAAGTAAAGTAGACCAAACTGCTTCATATCTACCTCGTCATCCATTTGTCCAATACTTATTATACAAGGCAAATGAATTAGGCAAAAATATATATATATATATATATATATATATATGGCAAATGACCAAATTTGCCTCTCAAAAATGAGAAATTGGATCATTTTGTTCTCTGTCATAGTTTAAAATTCTAATTATTTTAAATTATTAGATTTTAGATTAATAATTTTTATATATTCAACAAAGTTTTTAAGATAAATATAAGATTTGAATTAAAGCTAGTACGGTCGGTCGAATATGTAGTCACCCTTCTAGATCCACTCCTGATTACATATATCTTTTGTCATGCCCCGACCTTAGGGAGCACGATTGACGCTCAACCGAGATACCCCGATTAAGCAAGCCTACTAGATACCTTATACCCAACCTTACCCATTAACGATATAAGAATCAGTACAAGTGATAGACATGAGAAGAGTCAAGTACTCCACATTCTTTTTCCATTACTAAAGGATATTCATTTATGATTTTTAAAATATTATACGTTTATAGATATGATGAGAAACATATTTGCCCAAATACCGATACTTACTAGTTTAATTCCCAACATCAAACACCACCCACAACCTGTTTACGGAGCCTCTAAGTACAATAGAAGAGAAAAATGGAAGTGTCGGCGATAAGGCCCCGGCTATATCTCGAAACATAAAGTACAACGTCAAATGACATGAAGCCCGGAACAGAGTGGGACTCAACAAAATCTGCTGAACAGAGAGTAACTGCTAACGAGGATCAAAACCGTTCGCTGACGAACCACCTGCATCTATTGAAGATGCAGCACCCCCGAAAAAAGGGACATTAGTACATATGGAATAGTACTAGTATGTAGAGCTAAATATCCTCTTTCAAAATAGAATGTTAATATAAGAAAGGGAAAACCATAGAAACAGCAAGTTACAATCAACAATATCCAAATGCCCAGTTAAAACATAACAATTTTTAAAATACGAAAATAATATATATTTTTGGTTGGGAGATCATTAGCACAGATATACCACCGTGTTTTTAGCACAGAGTCCAATCACGCCCGATCGGCTAGGCCATCTCCCCACGAACAATGTGATTTGACATGTGATGCGAAAAAAGGTGTTACCAAGAGTAGTACCACCATATGCGCAATATGGCATCCGATCTCTGCCCGATCGGCTAGACCGCCTTCCCACGTATGCCATGTGAGTTGACTTTTCAATTCACGGCTAATATCAATCGCATCCCAATTAAGGGTAATAATCACAATCACATCAATATTTCAATCCCATCCCAAATAAAAGAATAATCACAATCCACTCCTACACCGACACGTGTAGTTTCGGGCGTGGGCCTTATGACCCACCCTTTCTCGATTTGCTAATGATACTCCCAAAAATATTTTTATTTTGCACACAAGGAACACAAAGTATAAATATATTTTATATTCACCTCTTAACCGTTCATACTATATATATATATATATATATATATATAGCTTTGTTAGTACTTTCAACCATTCACAACATCATTATTTCCTTATATATATATAGCTTTGTTAGTACTTTCAACCATTCACAACATCATTATTTCCTTGGCTCTCTTGGCTTATGCTTTTTTAATTTTTCTTGAAAACCCACATTCATGAATGGAATATTTTCTACTGACTCTTGGAGTGAGGGAGTCGAGGGTCTATCGGAAACAGCCTCTCTACCCATGGTAAGGGTAAGGTCTGCGTACACACTACCATCAAACTTGACAAGAGTGGGTTGTTGTAATGACCCGGCAGGTCGTTTTGAGAGTTATAGCCCCGATCCCCTGTTTACTGCTTTCTCCGTATCTCTTTCTGCTTATGTGACTTGCTGGGAGGCTTTGGTTGTGTTTTCGAAGTGTTTTGGGACACTTAGTCCCTAAAACGGAAGCTTAAGTCTTAGGATTTTGACCGTAGATAGAACAGTATGAAAACGACTCTGGAATGGAGTTTCATCGGTTTCGTTAGCTCCGTTGGATAATTTTGGACTCAGGAGCGTGTACGGAATGTGAATTGGAGGTCTGTAACTGATTAAGGCTTGAATTGGCGAAAGTCGATTTTTTGGAGATTTTGACCGGTAGTAGACTTTTTGATATCGGGGTCGGATTCCGATTTCAAAAGTTGGAGTAGGTTCGTAGGGTTGAATATGACTTGTGTGCAAAATTTGGGGTCAATCGGACGTGGTTTGATAAGTTTCGGCATCTGTTGTAGAAATTTAAAGTTTCAAGTTCATTAAGTTTGAATCAGAGGGTGATTCATATTTTTAGCATTGTTTGATGTGATTTGAGGGCTCGACTAAGTTCGTATGGTATTTTAGGATTTGTTGGTATGTTTGGTTGAGGTCCCGGGGGCCTTGGGTGTGTTCCGGATGCTTAACGGATTGAATTTGGACTTAGGCTAGTCGCTGAAGATTTTCTAGTTTCTGATGTTTTCGCACCTGCGGGGGGGAGACCGCAGGTGCGGTTTGGTCAAGCTTGGTCTATGAGCGCAGGTGCTAAATGGGAGCCGCATCTGTGCATCCGTAGATGCGAAGGATTGATCGCAAGAGCGAAAAGAGGCGGCCTAGACAGAGTCGCAAATGCGGAAGGTCATCCGCAAAAGCGGGCCCGCAGGTGCGTGCCTTAGTCCGCAGAAACGGATCTTTGGACCTTAAGCCATCTCCGCAACTGCGATAAAATTCTGCAGGTGCGGCGTCGCATGTGCGACTAGTAGTTCGCAGATGCGGAATCTCTAGGAAGAAAAGGGTCAATTTCGAGGGTTTGATCTCATTTTCATTTTGGGTCCTTGAGAGCTCGGATTGAGGCGATAATTCAAGGAGTTTTTAGAGAGAACTTTGGGGTAATGATTCTTAACTCGTTTTGGGAAAAGCATTGCTACCGATTGATTGAGCTTGGTTCGTGGTAAATGGCTTGCCTAACCTTGTATGGGGAAAATCTCCTTAGGATTTGGTACTGTTGTGATATATGAGCGCCGTGTACGTGAGGTAACGAGTACGTACACGGGATATTTGTTGTAAAACTCGAGTTATTTTACTGAGTAGTAACCTGTTTTTTCTTTAATTTGAGTTATACTGTTTAAATGAGTATTAGTCTGTTTTTCATTCTTAATTGAGATATTCCAATATGTGTAGTTATCATGTTTAGTCTAATATCGCATGTCTATGTGCTTTAACTGCTTATTTGAACTCTGTGAAGCACGCTTAGTTGATTCCTATTTTTCCTTGTTCTTTATCAGTATAACTGTAAAAATCTTGCTGTTAACTGTTGTATTTATCAGTTTGAGCTGTGTGTTTACTTTTGAGACTACGAGGAGGTTCCTCGGGAGTTCTCCCTGCACATTTACTTTTGAGACTACGAGACGGTTCCTCGGGAGTTCTCCATGTACATTTACTTTTGAGATTACGAGGCGGTTCCTCAAGAGTTCTCCCTACACATTTACATTTGAGATTATAAGGCGGTACCTCGGGAGTTCTCCCTGTATATTTATTTTGGGACTACGAGGCGGTACCTCACGAGTTCTCCCTGCACATTTATTTTGGGACTACGAGACGGTATCTCGAGAGATCCCCTGCTGTTTACCCCTGTGTGTTATATTGTTGCCTTGCTTTGTTTCATTTTGTTAAATTCTAGTCTTTAATTATAATGTATATTCTCATGCCTTATTTATTATTTACCAGTGGGCCTGACCTGACCTCGTCACTACTCGACCGAAGTTAGGCTTGACACTTACTGGGTAACATTGTGGTATACTCATGCTACTCTTCTGCATATGTTTTGTGTGCAGATCCAGGTGCTTCTTATCAGCCCCGCTACTAGCTGAGAGTGCTTGCTGTTGTACGGACACTTCAAGGTACATCTGCCGCGTCCGCAGAACTCGGAGTCCCCCTCTATTCTCTCCTATGTTATTTACCTTCCGTATTTCTTTTGTTAGAATCTGGTGTATAGAGATACTAGTTTTCTTCTGTAGCTTGTGACTTATGATGTTCCGGGTTTTGGGAAGACTGTGTATTTATAGAGTATTGGTTATTGTACATGCCGAGCGGCATTGTTACTAGTTATTTAGTTATCCACTATTGTTAGTTGCCAAGTTTTGCTTTCGTTTTGTTATTTTCCGCAATTTGTTAGGCTTACCTAGTCGTAGAGACTAAGTGCTGTCACGACGTTATACAGAGGGAGTTTGGGTCGTGACAAGTTGATATCAGAGCTCTAGGTTCATAGATGTCGTGAGTCACAAGCCGGTTTATTAGAGTCTCGCGGATCAGTACGGAGACGTCTGTACTTATCTTCGGGAGGCTATGGAACTGTTAGGAAAGATTACACTCCTTGATTCCTTGTCGTGCAAAAATTTATTGACTTCAAAATTCTAAACTTCTGTATTCTATTCTCTCACAGATGGTGAGGACACGTACAGGCGGATCTGATGACCAGGCACCCGCTCCCCTACTAGAGCCGTGAGAGGCCGGGGCCGGGGCTGGGGTAGAGACCGAGGACGTCCACGCG